CGTGTCTTTAATAAAATCATGACTTTTCGTCATGTAATAGCAAAATCATGTAATTATATTAACATGTCATCCTTAAACATAGTAATCTCCAATTCTTGTCTAATTTTGGGTTACAGACCTGATTGCATTATCAACTACTACCAGTGGATTCCAGGAGTTGAGTAGTGAGTAGAGTTGAGCGAACCTGAACTGAAAAGTTCGGGTTCGTACCGAACATTAGGGTTTTTGGACCCGAACACAGACATATCACTGTATGTTTGTGTTGGAGTTCGGCGATTTAATGACGCGTTTTGAAAGGCCGCAGGGCAGCCGATCACCAAGCGTTTGACTCGTGTGTGCTTAGAAGACATCACAGCCATGCCTACTAATCTACCTGATCGGTGGGTGGGGGCCCTAAATAACAATAAGGGAGACCTCCTGTCCTCCCCCCGGCCCCCACCCCTGTGTGGCGGGTGGGGGCCCTAAATACCAATAAGGACTTATTGTCCCCCCGCTGGTCCCCACTACTTAGCAGTGGGTGGGGGAAATAAATAAAAATTTGGGGGACCTAATATCCTCCCCCCTTGCCCCCGCCCCTGCATGGCTGGTGGGGGCCCTAAATAACAATAAGAGGGGACTTAATGTCCTCCCCCCCTGGCCCCCACCCCTGATCGGTGGGTGGGGGCCCTAAATAACAATAAGGGGGGATCTCCTGTCCTCCCCTCAGACCCCACCCCTGTGCGGTGGGTGGGGGCCCTAAATAGCAATAAGGGGGGGGACCTATTGACCCCCTGCTGGTCCCCACTCCTGAGCAGTGGGTGAGGTCAATAAATAAAAATTGGGGGGACCTAATATCCTCCCCTCCGGCCCCCACCTCTGCGCGGCTGGTGGGGGTCCTAAATAACAATAAGGGGGTGGAACCTAAAGACCTCCCCCTCGGCCACCACCCATGAGCGGTGGGTGGGGGCCATAAATAAAAATTGGTGAGGGGAACCTAATGTCCTCCCCCCGGCCCCTACCCCTAAGTGGTGGGTGGGGGCCATAAATAACAATAAGGGGGGGACCTAATGTCCTCCCCCCGGCCCCCACCCCTGAGCGGTGGGTGGGGGCCATAAATAAAAGTGAGAGACAATGTCTCCCCATTTACTTATGGTAGGTGGGTATAAATAACAATAAGGGGGGGACCTAATGTCCTCCCCCCGGCCCCCACCCCTGAGCGGTGGGTGGGGGCCATAAATAAAAATTGGGGGGGAACCTAATGTCCTCCCCCCGGCCCCCACCCCTGCACGGCGGGTGGGGGACATAAATAAAAATTCCCCCTCAGGTGACTAGGGGTCCCCAAACCCCTAGTCACCCCCCTTCCCCACAAAAAATTACCCCTACCTACCCCCCTCATCCTAAAAATAATGAGGGTGTACCCTTGTCTAAATACCAGTAATAAAAAAGAAAACTTACCATTTGATAGAAACATAGAAACATAGAATGTGACGGCAGATAAGAACCGTTTGGCCCATCTAGTCTGCCCAATTTTCTAAATAATTTCATTAGTCCCTGGCCTTATCTTATAGTTAGGATAGCCTTATGTCTATCCCACGCATGCTTAAACTCCTTTACTGTGTTAACCTCTACCACTTCAGCTGGAAGGCTATTCCATGCATTCACTATCCTCTCAGTAAAGTAATACTTCCTGATATTATTTTTAAACCTTTGTCCCTCTAATTTAAGACTATGTACTCTTGTTGTGGTAGTTTTTCTTCTTTTAAATATAGTCTACTCCTTTACTGTGTTGATTCCCTTTATATATTTAAATGTTTTTTATCATATCCCCCCTGTCTCGTCATTCCTCCAAGCTATACATGTTAAGATCCTTTAACCTTTCCTGGTAAGTTTTATCTTGCAATCCATGAACCAGTTTAGTAGCCCTTCTCTGAACTCTCTCTAAGGTATGAATATTCTTCTGAAGATACGGTCTCCAGTACTGCGTACAATACTCCAAGTGAGGTCTCACCAGTGTTCTGTACAATGGCATGAGCACTTCCCTCTTTCTACTGCTAATACCTCTCCCTATACAACCAAGCATTCTGCTAGTATTTCCTCCCGCTCTATTACATTGCCTGCCTACCTTTAAGTCATCAGAAATAATCACCCCTAAATCCCTTTCCTCAGATGTTGAGCTTCGGACTCTATCAGATATTCTGTACTCTGCCCTTGGGTTTTTACATCCAAGATGCATTATCTGGCACTTATCCACATTAACTGTCAGTTGCCACAACTCTGACCATTTTTCTAGTTTACCTAAATCATTTGCCATTTGGCTTATCCCTCCTGGAACATCAACCCTGTTACATATCTTAGTATCATCAGCAAAAAGACATACCTTACCTGCAATATCACTAATAAAACTATAAAAGAGAATGGGTCCAAGTACAGATCCCTGAGGTACCCAAGTTTCGAATATACTCCATTGACTACAACCCTCTGTTGCCTGTCACGCACGACTGCCTTACCCATTCAACAATATTGGAATCCAAACTTAAAGCTTGCAGTTTATTGATAAGCCTTCTATGTGCAACAGTGTCAAAAGCCTTACTGAAATCTAGGTAAGCAATGTCTACTGCACCATCCTGGCCTATAATTTTAGTTACCCAATCAAAAAAAAAAAAAATGTCTTCTTTCTTCTAAAATCTTATTTTTTTCAGCCCCAAAAAAGGGCAAATAAAAATCGAGAATAACCCACGCACTTTTAAAAAAAAAAACGAGCGCAAAAAAATAATAATCCTTCTTCACCCATGGAGGGCTCCACGCAGACTGAGCTCTGCAGGGCGGGGAAAGGCTCATAAAGCCTTGCCCCACCCTGCAATTAGGCTCAGAGCACTCTGATTGGTGGGTTTAAGCCATCCAATCAGAGTGCTCTGACAGGTAAATGAAGAGACTGACAGGTAAGCCTCTACATTTACTTGTCACAGCACTCTGATTGGCTGGCTTGAAATCCACCAATCAGAGTGTTCTGTGTCATTTTACACAGCGTGGGAAAGTTCTTTGGAATTTTCCCACACTGTGTAAAATGACACAGAGCACTCTGATTGGTGGATTAAGGAACCAATCAGAGTGCTCTGTGTCATTTTACACAGGTGGGAAATGTCTTTGGAATTTTCCCAGGCTGTGTAAAATGACACAGAGCACTCTGATTGGCTGGATTTCAAGTTAACCAATCAGAGTGCTCTGTGTCATTTTACACAGCGTGGGAAAATTCTAAGAACTTTCCCACGCTGTGTAAAATGACACAGAGCACGCTGATTGGTTAGCTTGAAATCCAGCCAATTGGAGTGCTCTGTGTCATTTTACACACAGTGTGGGAAAGTTCTTCACCATGCAGGGGTGGGGGCCGGGGGGAGGACCTTAGGTCCCCCCTTATTGTTATTTAGGGCCCCCACCCGCCGCATAGGGGTGGGGGCTGGGGGGAGGACATTAGGTCCCCCCCTGTAGCGGATGGCACTGGGCTGTCCTGCAAATGTCCTTGAAAGAATTGCATTCGTGTGATCTGCTAAGTTTCTATGTGTTTTAAAAGCCTTGTATTCTTCTGGTTGTTCAGTAGTTTCATTCCCTTAGTTTATTCGAATGAAAATACCGAACAACCAGACCTCCCCTGTGTGAAGTGTGTCCTCAATTACCCGTTGCAACATTGTTGCGAATGGGTAATTGACTAGTAAGTAGCCGCCCTTTGTTCTCGGGGGTGGCCGCCATTCGACAAACGAACACGTGGCGGCGGCCATTTTAAAACTCCCGAACAGCGGTGTTTTGCCGTCGAGTGTCTGGAACTAAAATCGGACACTCGAGTAGGCGAACACCGCTGAGACCTCCACAACCCTGGTCCGTTCGGTTCCAAACTACCGAATGGCCCCTCGTTCGGTAGATAGAAAATACCGAACGAGGGGATTCAGGCGAACCCTCCCTAGCCTCTATAGCTAGAGGCTTTCGTGTATTTTGTTCCCTTATGCCAGGACCGACCGCAGGGCCCATTCGCATGGAACCTCATTTGGCTGTCTCAGTTAGTGCGGTCGGTCATTTTATTCCCTCCATACATTTCCCGAACCCCTGGTCTGATCTGGTTGATTTTTGGATATGTTATTCCCCCAGATCAGGGGTATCCGGGGATGTAGGATTTAAAGAGGTACCCCTACGTTTAGGGGTACATCCAGAAACGGGGGGAATTACTGTACTGGATAAAGGGATTATGATGCTGGCTGAGGGGAGGAGATGTGTGGGAGGTTACCAGGACAGGATTGGCTACTGTAATAATTACTGTAAATCCCTCCCTTGCATGGGAGCATGCTTTAAAAAGGAGACTGTGGATTAAAGCTTTCAGTTCTGCTCCTGAAACTGTGAAAGCGGAGATAACCTGGGGGATATTGCATCTCCGCTACATTGGTTGGCAGCGCTGGGATCCAGACTCACAAGGGAACAAGGACTAATGGAATACGGATGGAGAGTGATTATGCCAAGCTTAAAAGATCCACGCTAAAAGATCTCCTGGAAGCGAAAGGTATTGCAGCCAGCAACAAAAGGAAAGCAATCCTCATTGCAGAAGTGATGGCTGAATACCAGCAGGAGGATAGGGCAATCCCTGAGCAGCAGAGTGCAGCAGATGGAGCTGAAAAAGAGGAGTTCCAGAGACAGCTGCAGTTAAGGCTGTCCTTTTATGGAGAGAATCCAACAGCGGATATTATATCCAGGACAATGACAGAGGTGCAGGAGTTTATACTGCGTCAAAGGCCACTACAGCAGCTGGAGAGGAATGCTACCACAGCTACCATCACACAGGGTAAGACAAAAATTCCTTACCAAGCCTTTAAAACATATGTAGAAGCAGAGGAAGATATAGATGCTTTTCTCCAAGACTTTGAAAGGCTGTGT